TGCACAAGCTCGCCTGCGAGTGCAGGCTCACCAGATAGCGTTGTCGACATATCTCGCCTTCAACCAAATTTGACGAAGCTCACCTGCAATCAACTTCAAGCTCGCTTTAAAATTTTCTTCGAGTTCGCCTAGGGTGAAGGCTCGCCTGCGATTAAGGTAACCGCCGCTGCCCTAACTCCCCACTAAAATCTGCACGATCTCCTGCATGATCTCCTGCACCTTAGGGTTTCGACCCTAGGGTTTCATGATGGCCACCGCCGCTATCTTCATTTGACAGCGGTGCCGCCAGCCTGAAGATCGTCGGCGAATAGCCCAAAGATCAACGACCAAACCAAATAGATCTTTTGCAATAGATTTTGAACTTAATCCATGAATGTTTTGTAAGCAATCTTAATACATGAAAGTATCCAGATCAAACAAAACGACATAATTGAAAACAAGATCAAATTGCATGTTATTGTTCATGCGTGGAACAGATCCAAAAACAAACCCTAATTTTGTTCAACTTAAACATTAATCTCAGAGAACTAATCACGAAGGCTCTGATGCCACTTGTTATCCTTATTCGATCTTAATCATACAATATAATTAAGAATCATGATTAATTCAAAGAGGAGATTAACAAGAAGAATTAGCGGAAACATACCTGAATCCATGAAGAAATTCTGAATTAGGGTTTAAGATCTTCTAATCTAAAGGGTCTCTCTTTTTGTTTCTCTCTAGATGCGGATTAAGAAAACAGAGAATTTCACCCTTAGATTAGGTACCATAACCCCTTTATATAGATATTGCTATTTTCTATTTTTTTTTTCCCCTCATCAAATTAGACTTGCAATCTAGTATCTACACAATTAGCCTATGACATATTTAAATACACATTAACCCAATTAATTGATTGATCACTTTATGCGGGTTAAGTTTAAATATAGCATTACACAATAATTTAACATATGTGCCAATAATTAGATTTAATCCAACAAAAATCCCTCATTTAAAACCAAAGCAATTAAAAAAAAATACAACAACAGTTCACTTACTTATATACCATGATATCCTTCTCATCTTTACCAAACAAACATCCTTTACAATACTTCATCCTGCAAACGATCAAGCAAGTTATAAACCACGAGAAAAAAAATGTAAGTAAACTTGTAATTTCTTATATTTCTGCATAAAAATAGGCGGAGAGAGAGATTATTACTCGCAAAAACTTGGGGTTAGGATTTTGTTGAGATCTGCGTGCAGATCCACCACGGTGTTGCCAACGATCGTTTCTAGGGTTAGGCTTTTGTGGAGAACGATGGAGGTTTGAAGGAGAGGAGATATAAGCCCAAGCGCTCACCAGCTGTGAACTCATCTCTAATTTTCGCGCGGTAAGGCTTTGATGACAGAACTAATATTTGGGGAGTATTATCGGGTCGTTTTGGGTCGGGTCTAACATCAACCGACCCACTACAAAAATTAATCCACTGTTCATATCAGCATCACTTCAAAAAAAAACAGACCGTTGCTTGATAATAGCAACGGTCACTTAATTTCTTTTTTTTTTCTCCTTTTTCCCTTTCTGTTAAATAATAAATACAACTCCTTCATCAATTGAACTCTACTCCTATCTTCAATCTCTTTCTCTCCCTTTTGCAGTAAAATGGAGCAAACTTCAAATGAGAAGGCAGCAGAGATCTCACAGAGTTCGAAGAAGAGCATCACTCCTGTTCCTCTTCAACTCCCTAAAGACTCATCCAAGTTTGCTGAAAGGTGATTAACCGATTTAATTAACTGAACTTTTTGCCGTATAGATGTTATTGATCTCCCTTTTTCTTTTAATAAATCTTTTGAAGCAGGTACATGAGCCCAACAGACCGGCTCATTTCCCCTGTTTCCAAAAGGATTCTTGCGAGGAATCGCCATAAGGGCATGACTTGCACAATTAAACCTGAGCTCAATGTCGGGTGATTTTAAGTAAAAGCTCTCTGGTTCATCACTTCATTGGCTCCTACGACGTTACCAGACTGAATGATGTAATGAATTTTCTTCCCATTTTTTTTTTTTTTTTGGTTGGTATAAATCTTAGTGCGTCTATTGTGATGTTGGTGGATGTTCGTGTTTGCAATGAAGGAAGAATGGCGAAGAGATAGATATATGTTTCGTTTGTTCTTTTTGTGTGATCTGTCAAATGTTACCTACCTTTGATGTAGTAGTAAGGAGCTAGTATTGCGGAATCAAATTCGTTTCAGAAATCGGGCATATTATAGTGCGTTTGATGCAGTAAGGAGCTATCTGTAGCAAATTATCATGACATAAAGTTGATATATCTCGTACCTAATTGATAATAGATCATGTGTATTTAGATCCACAAACACCCCAACTTTACGCATGAGGATGGGGTGTTGTTTGGATCAGGGCCGGCCAGTTTTTGAGAATGAATCCCGGAAAAATTTTTATTGACGCTCTGAGTATCTTACATCCTACGACTGTGCATCATATTACAGTTGTCAAAAAATCAGCTTCCTTTTTTGTATACTCTCTATTAATTAAAAATATATATATCAGGAGGAAAGATAAAATCATGTCTAAATTGTTAGATCTAATAAAAACTTGAGATCTAAAACCATAAAGCCATGATTAATTCGAAGAGATTAACAATAATCAAAAGAGCGGAAGCTTATACCTGAATCCATAGATGAAACCTGAGATGAGTTTTGGATCTTCTAACCTTAGGGTTTCTCTATAGCCGAATTTCTCCTTTAGATGGGGGTGAAGAGAATTAGAGAATGTTACCCTAGATTAGGGACCATAACCCCTTATTTATAGATGTTGTACATTTGTAATTTGGCCCCTCAACAAATCACAATTACAACCTGGTATCTGCACATATAACCAAATGACTTATTTAAATACTCATTAACCTAAATTAATTGATCACTTTAGTGGCAGGGCCGTACCTAGGAATTTTGGGGCCCAAGGCGAAATATTGGATGAGGCCTAAGTGATACAACTCATAATACATTTTATCTCATTCTTCTTACCTTTTGAGCGGCAAAATTACATATTATTTTCAATATCTTGTAACATGGTCGATCTTAAATAAGATTTTAGTAATTTTAATCTTTCAATTCAATATCATCTAAAGCTTTTAATTTTTTCAAATCAAACAAAAAACCAAATTTTTTTTCATACGTTTTAAATTGTTCAAACCTACTTTCAATTGAGCCAAGCGATTTATCAACTATGTATAGAAATATTCAATACGAAAAGATTCTTCAGCGTTAAATGTTGTTTCATTACCAATATTTCATCAAATTGTTTTTTTCTATGAATTTTACGTTTTTCACAAAATATAGGTTGTACGTCATTTAATTAGCAAGTTCTTTAGTTGAATTCAAAGCAGATATAAAAACATTTTGTCTATAATTTTCTAAATATACAATAAGATCCTTTAATTGATCTATGACAATATCAATATGCATATATTTAGATTGTAAGATTTTACTAACTGAATTAACAGCAAACAATATGTCATACCAAATATTCATAGCTATTAAGAATTCAAAATTTTCAATCTCATAAGTTGCTAAGCTATTAACTTCACTTTTTATCTTTGGATATTCACTCTTTAAATAGGGTTAGCTTTATGCTTAAGTAACTAAGTTACATATATTATATATATGGGTGGGTGGGCCTTATCCAACTTGGGGCCCAAGGCAAAGGCCTTAGTTGCCTTATGCTAGGGCGGGTCCTGTTTAGTGGGTTATCCTGAAAGATAGCAATACACATTGATTAATCATATGTGCCCACAATTAGATTTATTAGATTAAATCCAACATAAATTGCTGGAAAAAAATGTCCCATAGCTTTACCAACCTTTGGAAATAGGTGATCTTTATTTTAAAACCTAGCAAATAAATGCCCTAGAGTTCTCAAACCTTGTAGTTAACTTACTCAAAGTTATAAAACACTGGAAATAAATCCCCCAAATTTTTAAAAATTTTGCAAATTGATGTCCTCCTTGACAGTTGTCAAAATATTCTGGGAATATACCTATGTGAGCTATCATATGCTATTCTGCTACATTTTGTATCCTTAAAGCTATTCATCAAACATTGGGGTTGTAGATGGGTAAGTGAAATATTGGGCTTTTATCGTTGATAAAATAATAAAAGAGGTCTAATTAATTAAATGGGGGAGGAGCGTTTGAGTCTTTATGAAAAAAGTTTAACGGCAACAATGTTATTTAACAAAGGAAATACTGAGGAAATTATTTGCTTAGTTTTAAAATAGGAGTCACTTACTTGCAAAATTGGTAAAACTATAGAGCATTTTTGTGCAATTTAGCCTATAATCATCAGGAACTTTTTTCTGTGAAAGACGAGGATAGCAAGGTAAGAAACCAATAATATTTCTATTCTAATACATTAATATCATAAGTGAAGGAACTGCTTTATTTTGACAAAGAGGTAAGAAACTAATAATATTTCTGTTCTAATATATCAATATAATAAGGACTTATTTTGCTAAGTTGCAAAAACTCTCTTTTCTATTCATACGGATGGCTAAGATATTCAAATCATGGACACCATCTAGGGGGTGGATTTATATAGATATATAGGGAGCATATCCTATGAGATGCAAGTTTCCAATAGGATGTGACATGCATGGATCCTATGCGTCAATTTTAGTTGGAGGGTCAAGATTGAACCATCTTTAAATAGTAATAATTAAATTTTATCCACCCATATCTAGCTTTTCTTTTTTTTTCTCTCTATCAAAATGCCACTTTGCAAAAATGACACGTGGCAAAAAAAACACATACCCTTAAAAAACCACATGGCATCAATTTCGGTTCCCAACACGAGGCAATTTCTCCTTTTTTTTTTAAAAAAAATTCTTAAAAAAATCGATTCATCAAATTTAAGTGTTGTAAACGCCACCTTCTCTTTCATAACATCTATTTCAATTTCCAAGAACATTGCAAACGCCACCTTCTCTACTTCCGTAATTAATGCATTGGGTTCCAGTTTTTTTCTTAACTGTGCCATCATGTCCAAAGCTCCCATCAAAAACTCAACCATTTCCAAAGCTCCCATAAAAAACGCCACCTTCTCAGCTCGCTCGCCCGCCTCCGATGGCATCAAAAATGAGAAATTTGCAGCTGGAAGTTTCGGAGAGGAGGCTGAAGGAGTCGCAGTCTCAGCTCGCCCGCCTCCGATCACGGCGATTCCGCCGCCGGCAAGCTCCCGCATGCAACTGGCGGCGGCGTTTCCTTCACCGGCCAGCCATCTCGGCGCCATCCGCCGACAGCGTATTTCGGCCGCAACTCACCCATCGGCCTACGGTAAAGCTTGAGGAATACCGACCTCCTACAAGGGCGCCGCCGGCCACCGGCCTCCGTGAAGAGAGAGCCTGAGAGTAGACCATCGCCGCCGCAGCCGAAGGCGAAGAAGAAGCCAAAAAGGGTTCTTGGTAATTTGAGTGTTGTGGTTAATTTGCTTGAATTCTGGGGAAAATAGATTTTTTATTATTATTTATGTATTGTTTGTGTGTTTTGGTGATGCAGAGAAGAGAGAGCATGAGGATTTGATCCCGAGCATTTGCAGTAGCTCGTCGCCTTGCACCATTAGGATCCAGGGCAGTACTCAAGGTTATGGTACCAACAGCTATTGTGATTCTTGTGGACAGAATTTAAGACCAACAAATGGAGAATTACATGTCAATGGTGTGACTGTTGATGATACACAAGGTGAATAAAATCATTTGTTCCTGCTTTAATTCAAGCATGTAAATATACAACACACCTACAGAAGTCTCATTGTGTTACACTACCTGACTGAATTAGCCAGACTGAAATAGATTCCTATTTTCATATTGTTGAGCTCATTTGTGAAATTATAAGGATCAATTTTGAGTACAGAATTTACATATGATTTCTATTATTCTAAAGACCGACAGACATCTGAGCCAGAACTGATGTGTAATGATAAAAATCATATGTAGTAAACTATAATTTCGAAGACATGTACAGTCTTTTGGGAGGAAAATGGAAATCATATGTAATATTCCACAAATAATGTGCTCTTGAGACCACAACCAGAGATGTGAAACAGGACTAATGTGCAATAATTTTGCAGAATCGCCAACAACCACTCATCAGCCATTTTCGAGTAGTGTAACCAAGAGAGTAACAATTCATGGACATCATCCCGCCAACAACCACTCATCAGCCATTTTCGAGTAGTGTAACCAAGAGAGTAACAATTCATGGACATCATCCCGATGAAGATGATACCACAGAAGGCCCGAGTAACAATTCATGGACATCATCCCGATGAAGATGATACCACAGAAGGCCCTGCAATGGGGAAACTTGTCCCTCTATCTGATTCGATCGAAGATCTCTTCAAATTAGCTGGTAAAAATAGTCTTTTAGCTTTAGCACCTCTATTTAACATCTTGAATTCTCACTACTTATCTATGTCTTTCATTGTGCAATGATGTTTGAAATCCTAGCTTCTATTTACCTATGCCCTTTGGAAATCTTTGTTGTGGATGAACAATGATTTGGGAGTCTTTTTTGAAACTGTAGCTGGACGTTTGGACATATTGGTTAAGGATGCTAAATACCAAGTACAATATTTATGTGGTATGCTTCAACTAAACGTAATTGATATTGAATTTAAAATTAGTTGATTTATTTAGATGTGTATAAACAAGCTGAGCATAGGTTATGCTCTGTTAGTATAAACATAATCTCAAGTAAAGCTCGAGCTACTGGGCTAATTGTCTGCAAGTTTGAAACTACAGCTCATTCATGCTTAGTTCATCTCTGTTTTCCCCAAGAATTAAATGAACCTAGCTTGAACTCGAGCTCTATTGTAACAGTCTGTCTCACCCATAGTCCTACCCTGTTTCTCAAGAATAGTGAAGCCAAATCCACAATCGTACTCCCATTCTCAATACATCGAGGTACAAAGAGTGGGTTAACGGTCAGTAAAATTTTTATATGATCTTTTCTGCTAGAATGATGTATTTAGATTTGTATTAGCAAGGGCCATCAATTATCATCTTATTATTATTTTTCTAAAAGAAGAGCCATAATTATTGAAATAATATCGTTTACTTGTGTTAATAAAACATGTCTTAGTTATTCAATTGATTGAAATACATTTTATTGAAATAATATCGTTTACTTGTGTTAATAAAACATGTCTTAGTTATTCAATTGATTGAAATACATTTGGATGTCAATTGGGTTGTGTTAATAAAACATGTCTTAGTTATTCAATTGATTGAAATACATTTGGATGTCAATTGGGAGGACAATGAACTTTAAGTGAGTTAAAGGTATCTGATAAGCCAATAACATGTCAAGCACTGCAAACCTGGGCAAACAAGTTTGATGTCATTTCTCAGTTTACTGTTGGATTTGCGCACACTGTTCATGAGCACATGCCAGTTGAGATGGTGTAGGGATAAGAATGAGAGAAGTGAAATAGAGTAATCGGGTGTTCTATGTTTTATGTAGCCATAATTTACTCTCCTGTCAGCAACATTTTACTTCTTAATGTTGACAAATGTGCAGTAAAAGGACTGGGATTCCTTAAAAAAGGGTCTAGAGTAGATCCTGTATCATAACTGATTTTATATACTTTCTTGGTGTTAAATATCCATGACAATCTGTCAGCCATTTCATGTTAACAATTATGTGGTAAGTGTTGCAGTGAGTAATAAGCTTGATGTATTCCTGATCCTTATAGATCACATTTGGGCTGTGCGGACCACATAACTCATCTAGAAGAGTTCTACAGGTCATGTAGCTGCATCCTTAATCCACATAGAATGAATTATGTGGATCATGTAGTTGCATCCTTAATCTATTTAATCATGCATCCTTTATCCAAAGCTTTGTCTAATATAATTGCAATTAGAAATTTGTTTCTCTATTCCACGATGGATCAGTTTTCGATCTTTTTAAAAGCTGGCCAGTTTGTGATTCTATAGACCATGATTGCATAAAATAAATGAGCATGCCGATTTCAATTTTTAAACTTAACTTATGCTTATGCTTCTTAACATCTTTTTAAGCTTGACATATCACATGGATGTAGGGTAAAAATAGAAAGTTTAGATTTTGTCAAATCTTATAGTGCATCTCCCACAAATAATACAATTTAAATAGGACTACAACTCCTCGGGTTCTCTTTCTCTATATCTTTCTCAAAAAAGATCAGGTGTGGAAACACTTCTTTCGTTAGAAATATTGCGGGATCTGAAGGTACAATAATTCATAATGTTAGAAATAAATCTATCTCAAACTGGATTTTTTTCCCCCCTTCAGTACCCACTCTTATGCACTATTGCTGTATAGAATAATTATCAATCTGATGAATATCATGATGTTAATATAACTACGCATGTAAATCAGACTAATATACATGTTATTAGCTCTATTTTACCAAAGTTATTTAAGCCGAGCTATATCTTATTACACAAACCCAATAAATTTGATGCTTTGTTAATATTTTTCTAAATTTATTTTCTAACTTAACAAATTTCCATCTTAACAAATGTTAGGCCATTGCACGAAAATATGATTTTGTGGATGACATCAACTCATTTAGAGAAACTTGGAAGATAATGGTCCTAATTATAAAGATTATGGACGAATTAAACTTTCCTATCATTTCTGTCATCCCCTTATTTTCATTCCGACTTCTTCAAGACATATATTTTGCAGATTATTTGAATTTCAAGAGATTTTTCCTTAGACATTTAATTGTAGTGAACATTTGGGAATTTTTCAATGACGGAGAATATAACATTAGATATAAAATTGCATTTAAAATAATATAATTCATTGGTTTCTGAATGATATATCACTACATTTACATACACTTTTTTAAGGTTGTTCGGATTTTGATTGTAACATTGTATCAACTATTATGAAATTAGTAATATTAAGAATCTTCCTTGAATTTTTGAACCAATGTTTCGAATTGTAAGGTTATAAGACACTATATGCTTGAGAACATAAAATTCAGTAGTTATTATTTGACTAATTCATAGCATGAAATTATTCTAATGTGATTTTAATTTTTGGATAAATTTGTTAGCTCTATCTGAGCGTGTCCTGTAATATATGTGTATGTAGTGGTGCATGCTTATGTGCATGTTTGATAAACTCAAATTTAATTTTTTAATCCATGTATCTTATTGAAAGTTCTCTGTCGTATGGGGTGATGTTTCAAAGATTTGATGAAATAGATAACTACTTTGTAGGAACACAGTGATGATTATGTAACATTCAGTGGCAGCTCCTTGAGAAGTATCAGGTACTGGACTTGGGAAAGGAGGCGGATTATTGGACTTGATTCTGAGTATGGTTTGACGTATCAGTCTAACTGAAAGATACCTATTTCATTTTGTTTCAGCTATAGTATTATTGTTCAATTGCTGTTAAAAAAAGGCTTTTAGTTTTCTCATTTTAATGGTGTTGTCATAAATATTATAAATATTTAACTAATTGAGTACTTCTTATGTCGTATTCTTATGGTTTGATGATGTTCTTAAATTGCAATCATATACAATTTTCTTATACTGACTTTATTTGATTTAGCTATTACATTGTCTCATAATTTCGTCAGGTGGATGTCATACACCCATTATATGATAGGTATTATATTTTCTTTGTTTTTTGACATTTTATTTTTATTTTTACCAATTTCTTTGGAAAGTTATCAACGGTTTAAATATTGATATGACTCGCACAAAATGTTCAAATATTATTTTCCCATATTTATATTTTTCCAAACCTTTCATTTTTTCAATTTTTTTAAGTTTACCCATTTTTGATACTTTTTTGACATTTCACTTTAATTTTAAATTTTTTCTACCTTATAAATAATAAAATAACTCCCATCAAATTTCTGAATACTGTTTTTATACATTTACATTTTTCAAACTATATATGATCTTAAATTGATTCAAGTTTTCCAAACTTTTTAATTTTTCAAACTATATATGCAACTTAGGTTGTATCATTTCTGATTATTTATATATTATTACTGTTTTATTTTGCATTCTTTTGCTACATCAATTTTGCATATTAAACAAATCCGTGCATCGCACGGGCCTGAAACTAGTGTGTGTGTGTGTGTGTGTGTGTGTAATAGAGAGAGAGAGAGAATAATAGGTATCCTTGTCATATGAGGGGATTTCCTCCTTAAAAATGATGTGGCACAATCCCCATCATGTGATATTCTCTCTCCTACTTTATTCACATGGTGTGGATTGTGCCACATCATTTTCAAGGAGGAAATCCTCTCCTTGACATAGGACACCCATTAATCTTATATATATATAATAATAAATAAATAAAATATATATATATAATATAATATAATTAGATCAGAGATGAGAAGAGAAAATGGCAGCAACCTTTGTACCAAAGTTCTTAAAGCAACTGGTAGTATCTCGCCTAATCTTCCCTTACATCACACCTCCGAAATACCCTCAACTACCCTCACCAACTCCAATTGTGATTAGCGACAAATTAGCACAACTCACTAAAGTTTGAGCATTGCTACCAAGTTTCCCATTTCTAGTATCTATTATATATACATATAAGTATATTATAATAATATATATACGTATATATATATATATATAGAACACACACCAATAATGCGTTTCACATACGCATGCCTGGTACGCATTGAGCCCGACTTTTCTTTTCCGTTTTTTGCAAAAAACCAGCGCATGTGAGCACGACAATCACCTCGTTTCTCTCTCTCACTCCATATAAAAACCCCCAAATCGCATTTCTCCTCTCTCTCCCCCTGAAAAATCGAACTCAGCTCCTCCTCCATCAAGCAATCTAACTCCTCATTCTCTCTCTCACTCCGTGAAATAAACCCCCAAATCCCTCTCTCTCTCTCTCTCTCTCTCCCTAAAAAATCGAACCAAGCTCCTCCTCCATCAAGCAATCTAACTCAGCTTCTCCCTCCCTCAAGCAATCAAACCCAAATCCTCATCCATCAAGCAGTCGGAAAATCAAACCCAAACCCTCCTCCTAACTCCGCCGACTACCCCCTCCTCCGTCGACTTCCCCCCTCCTCCGCCGACTTCCCCCAACTCATCCGACGCCGACTACCCCAACTCCGTCGACTGTGACTGATCTCCCTCGAGCTCGTTCTCGAGATCCCCCAACTCAGGTAACGATCAAGCCACAAAAATTTTGTCATTTTTTAGTATGTGTATAGTTTATTTGTTGGGGGTTTTCATTTTTATGTGTTTAATTTTAATGGGTGTCTTTTAGTTTTTTTGAACGTGAGTTAGTTGGAGATTGAGATTTGGGCTAGGGTTTGTTGAATTGGATATTATGCTTGTTTTTTGTCTGCAAAAAACCAATGATATTGAGATTTCTTTTTGATCTGGAAATTGGGTTGTCTGCAATCATAGCCTGAAAAAAATCGATATGATTAAGTGTTAAAATGAGATTTACTATGACGTTATATATAGTAAATGCGATCAGAAAAGAACTAGGTTATAATGTCAAAAAATTAAGTCTTTTTCCCCATATTATTTTCTGTTTCATATTGCCTCCATTTTTTATAGGTCAATTATAATTTTTAGTGTAAAATGGAAAACTTGGACACTGAAGCTAATGAAGTAAATTTGGACGATGATGATTTGATATATACTCCTCAAGTATCAGATGAGTTGAGGCCAAAAAAGGGGCAAGAATTTGACACAATAGATGATGTTATGACATTCTACAATACTTATGCTAAAGCAGCTGGGTTAGTGTAAGGTCTTGGACTACTCAGAAAGAGCCGGGAAGTGGTGAAATAAGAAGGAAGGAGTATGTTTGTTTTAAACAAGGAAAATCTTCAAGAATCACAGATATTGGAAAGAAAAGACGTCGAGGAAGCTTAGCTGAGGATTGTACTACCAAAATTATAGTTTTAAAATCAAACTCTGAAAAATATATTGTTATTATTTTTAATGAGGAGCACAGCCACCCGTTATGAACATCATCAAAGGTTCATCTTCTAAGGTCCCATTGTAACGTTTCAGCCGCAACAAAGTCCCTAACCAAACAGTTATCTATGGTGAATATGCCTCAGCATCAACAATTCAGTTTTCTTGGAGTACAATCTGGAGGTATAGAAAATATTGGGTGCACTCAAAGAGATTTGTATAATCATGAAAGGGATATACGTGCTGATTTGAAGGGGCATGATGGTGAAATGTTTTATGAGTATTTAAAATTGGAACAAAGAAAGAATCCCTTATTTACTTTTCAAATTAAGGCCGATGAGGAACAAAAGATTACTCGTTGTTTTTGGTCCGATGCAAGATCAATGCGGGCTTACAAATTTTTCGGTGATGTTGTAATCTTTGATACTACTTATAACACTAATCGCTATGGCCTTATATTTGCACCAATAATGGGGGTTGACAATCATGGTCAAACCATTATTTTTGCTTGTGGTTTTTTAAATCATGAAAGCGTTGATGATTTTGTATGGTTATTTAATCAATTTTTGGAAAGTATGTCTGGTGGTGCCCCGAAGATGATTATTACCGATCAAGACCCAGCTATGACTAAGGCATTCCCTCTTGTTCTTCCAAATACTTTTCATAGGTATTATAGTGTGTGATAGCTTTAACTACAAGTTATAATTTGTTAGGGCAATCGACAATTAGAGTGTGTATCAAATTCAAAGAAAGAAGCTCGCAACAAGTAAAATCCGTGAAATTGTTTACGACAAGGACTTGGATTTGGTTTCTTGTAGTTGTAAAAAGTTCAAAACCACCAGAATTTCATGTACGCACATTATATCATATATAATAAAAATTGATACTGAAATATTGCTCGATAAATACATCTTAAAGAGGTGGACTAAGTCTGTAAAATCGGGGACAGTGGATGATGATAAAGGCATGTAGATAAGCCCTGACAATTCTTATCTTTTAATGCGTAGTCAATTTATCCAATCATCTTTTGAATTAGTTGACAAGTCTCTCGTATGTGAAGAAACGAGAAAGATGTTTACCGATGGAGTGCGTATCATTAATGAGCAAATCGACCAATTTCTTAGTAGCAACATGGTTAGTGGACGCACGGTTGTAAAGAGCTTCACCAAGAAAAGTAATCAAATGAGTAGTAATTTTAGAAAAATAGATGACGGTACTAGTGTGCAAGGTTCTTGTACTTTTCAATATAGTTTTAATAAACCTGATCAAGTGCAAGCAAAAGGGTGCGGCAAAAGGTTGAAGGGAGGAGAAGAGAAAGCAATAGCTAGAGCAAAAAATAAAAAAGATAGACGTTGCCACGGGTGTAGTAAAGTAGGCCAATCACATGATAAGCAAAATTGTCCGACGCTCACAAATCCGTAAGTAATAATTATTTTATTATTTATGTTGTCTTATTTTTCACCTTCTATTATCCCCCTTGATGTATATATATATATATATATATATATATATATATGTATATGTATATGTATATATATATATATTTATTATCATGTAGGTCTTTTACATGCGGTGATACAAATTTGCAAGAGGGTAATGAGTCATCAAGTAAAGATGGGGATGATGTATTACTATGAAGACAACATTTCTAGATGGCCTTAACTGAAAAATTTATATGGTTACTATAGCCTTAACTGGAAATAGTTTTAGTGGTTTTTAGACTTTAAATTATTAAATGAGAGTTATGTTCCATTGTAGTCATTTATACACTACAACATTATTATTAATAAAATAAACTGATATTTGTTGTTTTAGGTTAATAGTGATGATTTGTGCCTTCTTAACTGTAGGGAGTTGCTGGCTTTCTTGGTTCGTAGATGAAGATTAAGTGAGTGAGGAAATTGTGTCTTCTACGTGCGTTTGTTATGTTGTTATGTTGTTTTGCTTGTAAGGTGGATTGATTGCCCCATATATGTATATGTAATGTGTGTCCCAGTCTTTTTTTGTAAACTGTTATGTACTCAATGATGTTTCGAAGCTGATGTTTGTTTGTAAGATGGGTTGATTTGTATAACTGAAGCTAATAGTGAAGCCCTTTGATTGTAGCTGAACGTGAACATGATTTGATTAGAAGCTGATGTTTGTAAACCTTGGCATTGCATATTAAATCAGATGTGTCTTTATGCTGAATATTGGCGTTGCATATTCGGTTCAAGAAATTAACACAAACAGGTACAAAAGCACAGGTAATTTGAACTGTCAGTTCCTTGTCCAGTGCATACTCGGTTTGAGATTTGATGATTTAAGGCCCGTGCATAATCGGTTTTAATATTGAAACATGCAACATGTATCTTTGTATAAATGAAGTACATTACTTATTATTAGGTGCAACCTGTCATTATTGAAACATGCAACATGTATCTTTGTATAAATGAAGTACATTACTTATTATTAGGTGCAACCTGTCATCAATAAGCATTTGCAAATTTATCTTTGTATAAATGAAGTACATTACTTATTATTAGGTGCAACCTGTCATCAATAAGCATTTGCAAATTTTCAAACCAAAAAGCATAACTTCAGCGAGTAAAAGCATTTGCAAACCAAAAAGCTCATGCAAACACGACAACCTGTCATCAATAAAAGCATAACTTCAAGCAGTAAGCTTAGATAGCTTAGCTAACCAAAAAGTATTTGCAAAAAGCTTAGATAACTGAATTTGCCAAATTTCTCCAAACACGACAACCTGTCATCAGTAAAACAACACAAAGCTCATGCAAACAGCAAAACCTTTCGATAACAAAGCCACGCACATGATAAGCAAATGTAAGAAACAATACAAGAACAGCAGCCACAACTACACAAAAACAAAGGACTTATTTCACAAAAACAATACAAGAACATCACATGTTTTTTGCAATGGAGAAACCAACAAATATCACAACGATACATACGAGAAACACTACTATTGTAAACAATGAACCTAATACAAAAGCATTGATGGAGAAACTAGTTGTTGCCCTAAGTTTTTCATTGTCCTCATCCAGATTATGCCTCACTGAATATCTTTGTTCTTGAGCATAAACAGATGTCTGGACATGCCTCGAGCTGGATGCTAAATCACGAGCGAGTGTGTGCTTCTCCCACTCAATCAAAACCTCTTCGTACGTTGCATACCCTTTGTAGGAGGCATTTGGGAATTTATCTACCTGAGATTTGCATTCCTCCTAATTATAAAAAATACCATATTGTCGACCTCTCTTCATAATATAAAAACTCTTTCTTGTCATGGATAACCTGAAAATATTTGTATACATGACTTATCAATGGATTTTATTACATTGGTGGGTTATATTAATTGCTCATGTGGGTAGCATGGTGTGAATTTATTTAAAATTGGGTATAGCTCAACTACCTCCAATCTAAATATTATAAAAGATCAGGATGTCTACAGTACCCCCCAAATGGGTCTTAGGATAGAGACCTTTCAATGCAATTTGTAAATTCTCTGTACATGGGTTTTTTGTGCGCGAAAAATTCTTCTTGTTACATCATAATGTCCGAGTTCATTCTTATGACATTTGATACTATCCAAAGTTCAGTAGTACAAAGTTCCAATTTTCATATTATCTCTCATAAAAAATTTGAACTTCAAATGAGATTGGGCATTTTAATTTATATTTAATCTAGATTTGCATTGTGAAAAGAAAAAAAAAGAAAAGAAACAGAGGATAACACTAAACTGGGAGTTGCTCTCTTTTTTGTTATGCTTTCTGATGAAGAGTAAATTGTACTGTGAGCATGTTAATATTATCTTAGCTAACAGTGAAGCCCTTTGCTTGCAGTCTTGTAATGCATCAACATAGACAACATTGTGGGTAACAAGAGAAAAAAAGGTGTTTCGTAACTATCATTTCAAGAACAGTCATATACATTGTCAAACATGTAACTATATACATTATCATATACAACATGAACAATGAAGTGGATTTTTTTAAAATCAAATAAGCACAAATTGTTCTTTCCATTTTACAGATTCCTCATGTATAAAAGCATGGAAAATAATTTCATATTTTTAATCTGGACCTTGAAAACTTATTTGAGTGCAGGATGTAAGCAAAACAAAAAGAAAAATCAAGGTCTGTTATCACTCACTGAATCCATGAAAATTGCAAAAAAAATTAATATACTACAAAAACCACATGCAATTCTACAAAGAGGGTGACTTCTGCAAAAGCTTCAGTGTATATATATCAGAAAATTAGAAAAGCTAGTGAGGAAGAACGCACCTTCGTTAATGATTCTAGTATTTTTGAAGCCTGATGGAGATCGAGAGCTCAATTGGGTTAGTCGTGGGGTTCGGCGTCAGTGTCGTGGCTGTTCGGTCTAAGACGCGACGGCCATGGTTGGTCGAGAGAGGGTGGAGAAATTAGGGTTTCGATGGTTTTTCAGGGAGAGGGAAGGAGGATGCAGCATGAGTTCGGAGGCGGGGGCGGCGGCGGTCGTGTATGTTTGCGTCGAAGAGATGCAGCCTGCCGAAAATGCTTAGAGCGTTTTGGCGGCCTCAATCAGATAGAGGCGCAGGTAAGATAGCAGGTTCTTGGCGTAGGCAGTGGGACGTATGGTTGCGTCGAGGAGGGGGATTTTGGTCGGGGTCCGGCCGACGTCTCGAGAGAGGGAGGAGGAAGGGTAGTCGGCGGAGTTAGGAGGAGGGTTTGGGTTCGATTTTCTGACTGCTTGATGGACGAGGATTTGGGTTCGATTGCTTGAGGGAGGGAGAAGCTAAGTTAGATTGCTTGATGGAGGAGAAGCTGAGTTTGATTTTTCAGGGAGAGAGAGAGGGGGGATTTGGGGGTTTATTTCATAGAGTGAGAGAGAGAACGAGGAGTTAGATTGCTTGATGGAGGAGGAGCTGGGTTCGATTTTTCAGGGGGAGAGAGAGACAGAGGGATTTGGGGGTTTATTTCACGGAGTGAGAGAGAGAACGAGGTGTTGTCGTGCTCACATGTGCTGGAAATATCACCCTTATCTTTTTTATAAATATTACATTGTTATCCTAATCTATTCTAATTATTCTATCTTCTTTGAATGGGTAATTAAATGATTTATCATATTCATAATAAGACTTAACATGTTATTGGATAAATGAGATACATTTAACATGTTATTAGATAATTAAATAATTTATCATATTCATAAATCTAAAAAACATATGTTAGCCAGCACCTAAAATTTTTAGACTTTGTAAAAAATATCCTCCAAAATTTTTAAATTACAAAAACACCCTTATAAATCCAAAATTTTATTAAAACATCTTGAAAATTATAAATTTTACTTATTTTAATTTAGTGAGAAATCTGAAAAAACATATGCTAGCTAGAAACTGAAAGTTTTTTGACTATGGGGAAAATTAAAAGTACCCTAGAGGGGGGTGAATAGGGTTATTACTAATCTTATTAGATATTAATGCCAATTAAAATTAATTAACAAATATATCCTAACAATGATGATATTCAATAAGATATATGCAAGGATGTATATGCAAAGGGAAAAATAAACAAGAAACAATATAAGCAAATAGTGGACACAAAGAGCAATCCAAACAAAATAATATGATCACGGAGTTCGGACCTTCCATCCTACATCTCCGCTACCCACTCCCACGAAGAACTCCACTATCGACACACCCGGCTTGGAAGCCGGAACTTATCTACACACTCGGTTTTCTAGCTCACCGAAAACTCTACAAATCTCTCACAATGTACATATATAAACTACAACCTCAAGTGTTAGTCCTCACTTATCGCCTCCATCAAGTGCTCAGCTTTACTACCTCTCTCTAGGCTTTACTATCGATGTCACTCCTGTAAGGACTATGCTTTTTAATTTTGATTTGAATAATTTTTTTGGTATTTAAATATTAAATATTATTTTTCTAAAAGTGTATTTGTATTTTTTCTAATTTTTTAAAATTTTCTATGATTTAAAAATCTGATTTTTATATTTATTTTAATAGTTTTGCTAATTATAAATTTAATTATTATGGTAAAGACTTTTAAATTAATGTTGGTTATTTATTATTATTATTATTGTTGTTGTTATTATTAATTATCTGTATTATTTTTAGCCTCAACCCTTATCCTCTATCTCTATTTATAGCTATCAGCTAATCAGCACGACAGTCAATCTGTTATCTGGCTTTTCTCTTGGTTCCCTCATATCAGCCACTCTCTCTCCAATCAATATCTTTCTCTCTCTCCTTCTCTCTCTCTTCCCTACCCCACTCCTTAATTTCCTCCCCATGTTTCCCACATCTCTTTCTTCACCTCGTGTTTCCCCCACTCCTCAAAAGCCCCCCTCTCTCACCCTCACTCACACGTCCTCTCTCTCTCTCTCTCATTCTCATTCTCTCTCTCCCCCATTAGTTCTCTATCTCTCTCTCTCTCTCATTCTCATTCTCTCTCTCCCTCATCCGTTCTCTCTCTTCCTCCTCTACAAAAACCTTGACCAGCTCTCCCCGAGCTCCAGCGAGTGCCCCGCCTCCTTCGGGTCGCTACGCTGACCCAGCCGTCGCTCACGCCACAGCTCGCCCTCTCTCTTCAACCCGAGCTCGCGCCTCGAGCTCCTCTACAACCCGCCACGACACCCCCCCTCGCCCCAACCTCGCTCCAATCCCGCCTCCCTCTTTCCTCGCCCACCGACCGTACGGAGATCAAGACTCCACCTCCGCTCGAGATCGCGCACCATCCGAAGCCGGCTCGGCTAGGGCTCCGACCGCCTAAGACCCCTCACCACGATGTCAGCCGCTAACACGTTGTGGACCTCCGGCTTTATCACCCACCCAAGCTCTGCCTCGGCTCCCACTTCAACCCACTCGCCGCTCATACGTCCGACCACCCTCTCCTGCATCCCGAGCCGCCGCCCTGACGCCGCCGCTGAGCCGCCTCCACACGAGTTCCCCTCCTCGCCACGCGCGCGTTGCCCTGCGGCAGCGTGCGGTCAGCCCGAACCTAAGCCGCGACCGCCTTACAGCCCATCTCTCCCAACAACGAGCCCACCTCAGCCTCAGGTCCGCCGCCTGACCACCTCCGCGGCCGCCGCCTTGGCCACTGCCGCCGACGAGCCCGAATCAATGAGCTTCACTGTAG